TATTATGCATGGTTTTGATTATTATGGGCATTACCTAAAGACTCGAAAAGTTTAAATATTACAAGACTTTTGGACCTTTGGCATACAATTGATATACTTATGGCAAACTAATGTAAATGCTCCCTACTATTAGCAGACTTAGATAAATGTGAGCTTAATGATTTTGAAAAGCAGTGTTTCGACCAAAAGTAAAATAAAAAATTAAGCAGTGTTGGTTAGTGGCTTCGAACTTGTGGGTCTATGTCATGACTTAAATCTTACCAACGACGATCTTCAGTTTGCCCACTACTAGACGTTTCAAATAGCAAGAATATCTGGTTAGTAATTATTTACAAATTAGTCTAATGGTGTACGAGTTAATCCCAATTACAATAAAGACAAATTTAATAGCAATTTACAACTCACAAACGCATATTTCTATATTTGAATTTCGGTTCTGACACAACAACAAATAATTGGGGCTCCTCAAGCCATCCAAATCAGCTTTTTTTACATTCACTCATGAGCTGCCACGTCATCATAATTATTCTACCAAATTAACATTCTTTCAAACGTCCAGACTTTGCACATCATAACTCAATTACACATTTTTTTTCTTTCGGAATCCGAATTCTTCGTGACTATGAAAATTCTTCGACTCCCATCTGTTACGCATTAAGTTCCTATTTCTCTTCCAGATTTCGTTTCACTTCCTCCAAGTTTTCGTACTCTTCTTGCCGGAAAACCTAATGTTTCGAACAAAGAGGCAGGGAAATCAAAGGAGCATAGTGGATGAGTAAGTCAGAGAATTAAAAGAGATGAATGCGATAGGGAGAAAACGATTTGGAGAAGAAACAAGGTAAAAAACCATGTGCAACTGTCCTTCAAAGGGCCATGAGATTTTCCCATCTATATTAGCAGTCTGTTGGTTTCAGTTTTAGGGTTTCCCGTGTACGTTTGGAGTTTGCGATCATGAACTGATAATTTTATCCCTTCATGTTCATTTTCCATTCCTTGCTTCTTACATTAAAGATGTAGCAGACTCTGTACTTTTAAATATGAGAATAGAGTTGCTAACGAGAGGAGCTGCTATTGTTTCATATTGATACATGCTCTTATATATGACGGTGATGTAATCAGGCAAAAACCGTTGCTAACGATCTGAAGAAATATGGACTATTCTGCAGGCAGTTTGCACTAAAGAAAACTAATACGCAGAGAGGTAAGAACTTCTAATGCCCATGTCTAAAATGCTTTGCTAAAGGAACTCAAATCCTGCTTGATATCCCTTTTTTTTTTGCTTGATATATATCCTTTTCTTTGCTTATGCCAAATGATTTCTTATTGGATTTACAGTATCAAGATGGAAACAAAACAGTTAGTGAGTTTGTTCATGAGAGTAAAATTGGATCTGGTCTTTTAGGCGCATGCTAAAAACTTTTGTCTAGGCTTTCTTCAACTTATAAATATGTATTGTATTGTAAAATTTAAAGGGCTGATATTTCTTGATATGGACAAAATGACAGGCCATCTGCAAAAGAAATCCTCTCCCCCATAGGTAAATCCTAAGCTTTTCCTTCGTATGGTGTATGTATCATTATCCTTTAAATAATGGTACTTTCTTTGTCCAATAGATTACGGTCTTGATGAAAATTTATGTCCAAGCTAAGAAATGGTATAATTTGCTGACAATGTTATTACATAGTTACGATAAATACTTTAGCCTAGCTTTCATCCCATATATATTAAGAGTCGTTAACTAATTTTACACCCTTCATGTTATTTTGCCTACAGCCATGGTCAAAACGACGTAGATGGTACTTTCTTAGCAAACGTGAGCCGTAGAGTAAGTTGAAGATTCTAGCCATCTTTCTTTTACATTTTAGCCTTTCACTCTATGATTTTCCGTCGAACAATCAATGAAGTCTTAATCTTCGCCAATGGAGGCCTAAAAGATAATCTACCAAAGCATGCAATGCAAGATTCCAACTACTTAGAGAGCTTTCTGCACCAATAACCTTTATTAGCATAACCAAAAAATTTGTCTCTTTTTTCTAGGAACATATCGACAATGAAGGTGATGAAATGGCAGACCTTTTCCATGAACCGGTCGAAACGGATATTAACAACTACTTGATGGTACATACTTCTTCCCGAGCTTCAGATTTTAAATGAAGGATCGAAAACTAATCATATGTCTTCTTCAATCCTTTGCTCTTTTTCACACCTCTACCAACACGCATTTCAAAGCGGAGGACACCCCATGTATCTACGATTACCTAGCCGGGTTCTGTATTTATATTTAGTCTTCAGAAACAAAGCTAGGAGCGGGTATCTCGGTACACTTCTAATCGGAAACATACATTGCTTCGAGGTAGATATCATTGTCATTGTCTCTGTTTTGTAACATATCTTCTCGATCGGTTTTCATAACAAACACAACCTCAGATCGTAAACATGTATCATTACTTTCTTGCTCTGTTGTTTGCTGTTTTAAAATCAATACCTAACATATGTCTCTCATCTTTCTCTTTATAGAGTTGAAAGAGATGCTATGTACAAATAGATATTCTTCTAAACAGATTATGTGTTTGTTGTAGGTGCTTGATTTTGGTGTTAGGAGGAAAGTGGTTAAGTCAAAGGGAGATGGTGGCTTTGGTGAGGATGATGTAAAGTATAAACTGTAAGAAATCATAGTCCATAGGAATCATATTATTTCTCTAAATTTCAGTATTTAAATGTGAACATGCAAACTCACGTTATTTATTGCTTTCTTTCGTAAAACTCTAACATGTCTTCTATATTTCTTTTTTTACAGTTGGAGGAGATCGTATGTACATTTAACCTGTTTCTCAGCTTGTTTTAATGTCTCTATAGTGTCAGATAAAGGGGTTTCGGCTTATTAATACCCGCACTCTAGGGAAATGCGAAATTATTTACTCACTTTGTCAAAGAGTGCATATTTCTACCCAGACTYTATATAATATACTTTTTCGTACCCAAACTAATTAAATTAGGTATATTTATACCTCAGAGCTTACGGTGTTAATGTCTCCGTTATGGGTGCTGAGTGTGTTGCTTAGTCACTAAAACATATATAACAACTCAGATTTATGTTTTAAATTTTTTTTTTCTCATCTTAAAAGAAACGACATCGTGAGTTAAATAAAAAATATTTGCCATTACAAAAACAGTAGATTGCCAAAAGCATATTGCCGATCATGTCTGAATAAGAAAAGCAAAAAAGAAACCAAATCATAGT